TTTGTGACGTTGTTGTTATTACCGGTGACGTACGTTAGGACAGATATCGATATGGAGGCTAAGGAAGTGGATGGCAGTCATAGTAACAAGGCCGACAATATCATGATGGAAACCTGTTCTCAGGAAAACGTTAAGAACGAAAATGAATAAGTGGTCTGTTTAATTCATCATAGCTGGCTTTTTATCTTAATGCATTTTCGACAATAGTATGACAAGTATCAGTGTAACGTTGTCAAGACGATAGTGATAATCATTCTTATTCATTCGATTTTTGGCTCAAATATTCCCTCAATGACAGCTATCTATGAAAAAGCGCTGTAACGCAGGGCGCCATATTATTGAAAGCTGACGTTGATTGAAACAAATTTCGTGTGAATTTCATCAAGTCCAGTATTAGTTGTTTATATGTGATGACACCGTATATGCGTGGATAAATGATTTTTGCACGTTCGATGCATGTCACATTAATGAGGCTTTAAATATGTTTGGTGATTTTATATTAATAGAGTATAGGCTGTCTTCGGTACGTTATGTTGATAGTGTATGAAATAAACACACACACACACACACACACACACACACACACACACACACACACACACACACACACACACACACACACACACACACACACACACACACACACACACACACACACACAATATGTAATTGATGTATGCAATTTTAATGGAATCTACGATATGTTTCAGAGTGTGTAAAGCTTATAGGGAAGAAACTTGTTTCAGTGATGTTAAAGGGACATAGGATTTGTATAGTGTATGCAGTGTTGATCGAGAATTAAATATGATCGTTATATACAATGTTCATGGGTTATAAGATATTTACTGATTATAAGATATGTGTGGTGTATATAATGATAATGGAGTGAAAGATATTTCTGGTATATGTCATTATAATGGAGTATAAGCTATGTTTGGTGTATGTAATTATAATGGAGTAATAGATACGTTCTAGTTTCTGATCGAGTATGACCAACAGGCTATTTACATCCCTATGATAACTAGCTGCGCCCCTCGGTTTGCTGACTTATTTTTGTTGCCATACGAGGCAGAATTTATTAAAGATCTTATCAAAACAGGTTACAAACAACACATTGCAAAGCCATTTGATTTCACTTTCAGATATATTGGTGACGTCTTTAAACAGCAAAATTTTATTGACAAAGTCCATCGTATATACCAATCTTAATATTGCAAATCTAAAACACGACATACTCTTCCAAATCACCTTCTTATCTCGATCTTTTCCTACAACGAAACCATCACGGACAGCTTTCCACCAATCTGTATGATGATAAACGAGATGATTTCAATTTCCCTATTGTGTATTTTCCATTTAATAGAAATATTCTTCTTCTTTGTGTGATATGAAACTGGACGTGTTTAATGCTCGTTAATTTGCTTGTTGTTTCCGTTGTTGTGTGCCTTGTACTCATTTGAGAACGTTACATTACATAGCTGGATTGACCAAGGTTTACATGGCGGGTGTCGGTAGAAGACACTTACTCTTCCGGAACACGTGGTCTTATTATCCTGGTATTTTTTCAGGAGTCTCGGTCTTTCTTTTGTTCATATTTTGCCAATGTTTCCTTAATAGGTTGATATGTGGTGGTTTCCCGTTCAACATGTCTGTATTAAATGAAGAATTTAGCAGAAATTCCTCTCGTCCAATCTGTGGCACCATTAATATATCAGGTAAGGTATGATGTCCTTCTTTGGTGATATAGACGGTGGAATTGCTTGGAAGTTCCAGCATTGTTGATATGAATCCTTGTCGATAGGTTAGATCCTGATTTTCATGACTGTTGTATGATTCAAATGATGAAATCTTGTAATGCGACCATGATCATAAAATAATCTCACATCATCGCAAATTTCACCATGAATCATAGTATTTCACGTAACGATGTTATCTAGATGGTTTTTAAATGTGCGCTTCGAATATTGGTAGTTCAAGAATGAATAAATCGATGTTTGAAATTATGAATCAATTAACACATTTGTTTATATCGAAGCTTGATAAGCCGCAATGTTTATAACGAATTAAGGATGTTACCGTCTGCAAGATTAAGAAAACCGGTCATTTCAACATTCCAATGATGTTTCTATTGATTTGCACAATGATATTTCATGGCGGGTTCTTTAATTTTGCTTAGGTGAGTATTTATAAAAAATCAAAATCGTCAATGACATTTATGCAATAAAAAATATGGCTTTTGATCACTGGCGGCTTTAATGAAACCAGGATTCCAAATGCTGTCGCAGCTGTTGTTGCTTCATTGTCATGGAATAGCTTGTTAACTGTAGCGGTGCTGAAAGTCAGGGAATTGTTTGTTCACTGCAGTGATGCTAGGTTGTCAAGAAATTTGTTGTTCACTCAGGGCATGCTGGGTGGTCAGAGGAATATTCTTGCTAGTGTGCTGGATAGTAAGGTAATTATGATTTACCACTTTTGTATTTCTTGATTGTAACGGGTTATTTGTTCACTTTGGCGGTAGTGGGTTGTTCACTTACCATTAGGTGTTCATCATGTTCGACCTACCTTATACTCGCGCGCGCGCTCTCTCTCCAGGTTAGTTTATCGATGTGCCAAGTTAATACTTTGCGTCATATTACAGCGTGTCAGCCGCTCACGGCGTAGTGATCTGTTTGTTTATCGTGTCGGCGTTATCATGGAAATGCAATCGGAGTGATACTTACAATATTAAGAGGAAATAGTCCAGGTGTGTAAGAATTCTTTCCTTTGTAAATGACGAGAAAGATATAAAATGTTTAAGGGAAGACGTTCATTGAAGAGAAAATAATGGCTATGTTTTCAATTTTCCTATAATTAGTGACCAAGCTGACAGAATATAAGCGAAACTGTGAGCGGGAGAAACATCGTTTATTCACATAGCAGTGATATTTATTGTATATAGAGATCCAAAGTGCATAATAACATTAACCACTGTATACGTTTGAAAGGTGTGTCTTTTGTGATCGTAATAGCGGGATGATCTGAATAGTATCTCCGACTAAGCAAGCCGACTTTCGTAACGAACCCTTTCACATGTTAAACACAGTAACTGCAGTTGCGAAGACAGTTTCACAACAAACTATTGTTAACTGATCTAAGTACACGGCCTAATGCACACCTGTAACCTCTAGAGTTGACTGTTCAATGTTCTGATTAGTGAGTCGAAACTTAAAACAAAATTAGTTTTTATGACTTTTTAAGAACTTTCAGCAGGATTGTTTATTGATGAGGTAATCATTAAAGAGAGGTGTCTTTATGATGAGCTTACAATACAAAACATGTCATGGATTCAACTGAGGTGATCTTTAAGTATTACAAAAAAAAAAAAAAAAATGTAGACATCACTTCTATCTGATGAACAGTAAAGTTGCTTATTCTTGTTAATTACAAGTACATTATGTAGTATGTATACAAGTGGAAGACGGCTCTGGATACATGGTAGAAGAACTACAGCTTGTCTCGCTTGTCTCATCATATAAGACAGATACAACAGTTCCAAGAAAAGAAGATTAAATTTGTGTGCTTTCTGTTTGCAATTACATATTTAATGTAACATTTCATACCTTACATGGCTCCTCACATTTATACCATATTTATATAAAATTTGCTGATGTAAGTAAATATCGTACATTTCCAATCAATGTATCGATAATGTTAAGACTGTAATCTTTGTGCAGGCCTAATCCTAAAGCATAACTATCGATTAGTACTAACTATGGAGTTGGAATACCTCGACCTATGCAACAACAAATTCCGACATCATTAAATAATATAAGACACGCAATATACACGGACATTTTCATAACACCATTTAGATAATCATGATTAACATGAGGTCTCATGTGTCTCTGACAACTTGTTTACGTCTCAATGCAGAATGCACAATTATATATACAGCATAAGTAAAAGGTTTTGTTGGTCTCTTCAGATAAACAGGATGTTGTTAAGCGAACACAATATTATGTCTGCACCAACAATACAAATGCAAAATACATGAACAGGATATTTAACAGACAACAGCCATTACGCAACTGCGGTGACCGGGAGTAACACGAGTATATATATAAACATATATACACTATAACGTATTAACACTACACATCTGACGTGTTTGCAACATAATCATTTGACCTGTGGACGCATTTGGCTCATCTCTTCAATGTAAATTAACAGATAGCTGTGAAGCTGCTGTGAGTGGAGCCGAGAAACAAAAGACACAAACCTAATATCACAGGTACATGGGAGCTCAATTTTTATAGCACTTGAAAACCATGCAATAGCCTTATAAAAAACTAAAAGGTTGTCAACTTCTCACATTATCTAGCTCTCCGCCTACCCTCTCGCAGGACGTCTTAATCCTTCTCAACACACGAAATATTCTTGCTACAGGCCTACATGTGGGTTGGTTAACAAATTACCTTCTTCACAACAAGCCATGACTTGTGTTTCGGTATGTTCGCAAGATTCAAATGTTGGTAATATTTTCTTTCGTTGACTAGAAGTGATACCATTTGATAATGAAAAAGCACCATAAAGCCAGTGTAAACTACGTCAAACATAAATATATGTATCGTTTTAATAGAACGTAGCATAACTGTTAGATTGGTTTTAATTCATATTGTTTATTGTCCTTTTAACAGTTCATGCCATTTAAAGACAATCTTCCTCCTCAATGAATGCGAGATGAGTGCATGTAATGGGTTCGAATGACTGCAGACGTCACAACAACGCTGCAACCAGGTTAAAGTGTGAACTTTACAATTTAGAGTTGAAACGTTTGAATTGCACCTGTTAAAATTTTGTCATAACATTGCACGCATATGTTATGGGGAAGTTACATGGAAACGTTTTAAGAATCCATAAAGTTTTGTTATATTTTTGGGGATGATGAATAATAGGAATGAATACATCCAGTAACAGACTAAATGTCTGTCGGTTTTTTAAATTTCTTAAATGTCTGTTAATCATTGTTCACTTTTATTTTTCTTCTCGCGACTTTTATAAGCCATGAAACCGTCCCCAAGGGCCGCAACTCCGCCGATCGCCGCAGTGTATGTCAAGGCAGTGTCTACCTGGAATGAAATAAAACGAGGAGTAGCATCATTTCGCCCTTTCGATGTGTGATAGGGGGATGTAAAGTTGGCAAACACTAGGCTTGCCCAATGTTTGCAACTACATAACCTTTCTGCTAGGACTGAAATCCAACTTTCTCATCTACAAAAAGTGGATTGTTATTTTTGTATACCCCTGTTGGTCTTTGTATTGTTATCACAATTCTTGGGATAATCAGTGTCACCTTGTTGTAAGTAAAGAGGAAATCCTCCGTCTGAACCTTTGGTTACGACAAAAAAGTCTCTTTTGTTGGACAGGTGTATACATACTTTTGGAATATGTTTCATAATTAATAAGTGATAAGACAAAGGCTCGCCACTTTTGTCTTTTTTCGCCTCCGCCAAAATACAACTTACATTTTAAGACACTGACCATGAATTATATTTATCCTGCAACATTGATTGAAAATCAGACTATTGGAATAAACAGAGTTGCTGTTTAACCTGACATTGACGTTACGCTGAATTTTGCCTGATGACGGACGCCAAAATGATTGCTTCGCGACGAAGCGTAGTTCCAAACATCATCAAATATTACAGCGATTTTTTTAAAATTTTCATCAATCAACTTGTTCATTACAACATGTAAAATCGCCTATTTCAACAACTATTTATATTTCTAAACGTAACATTATAGTAAATTCAGAAAGGGATTCTGTCGAATTACCGCATGTGATAAAAATACTGCTGTTTTACGTCACTGCCGAATACATAAAAAATATATGTAGGAGGCGTACTGCGATAACGGCAGTGTTTTATACCGCCCTTGTTGAATACAAGCTATTCTGTATAATTCTTTGACTCCATTCACTATATAGATTAGTTTAAGTTCATCTACAATGTATATGTAGGAGAATTTCATTTTTTAATTTCTTTTTTACATTACTCTTGTTATCATCAATATTGACTGCTTTCGTGGCGATTGAGAGATATTTACTCCAATAACCTTTTTATTCAATACTGCGTACTCAATAATCGCAAATATCGCTAGGCTCCTTGTTATGTCATATCATACTTGTTCTAATCGGTGCAATCAAGTGCATAATTAACTTCTTTCACATTACCAATTTAAATGCGGAACATCCCTATTATTGTATGAAGTTGGTTTGTTTTTCTCGATTAAATGTCATTTTCCATATTTTAGAATTGACATTTTAATTAAAAACATTCATGTGGACCCAGTTGTCATCATAATGTGTGGTGATTGTATTTCATGTAAAATGACCGGTTAATTTCTACATAAATTCTTTCTACTAGAATTCCTTGATTAAACAGTTTCCATGTCGTTAATGGCAATATCGAACATCATTCCCAAATAATCTTCAATTTTGAATTATCTGATGTACATGGTTACTAAGTAGCCCCGCTTCATTGTAAGTGATTTACAGCTTTTCAGCTGAAATAAATATCCATATAACAAAACTGGTCACTGGTCAGTACTAATTGAACCATATATGCTAATTATGACTTACTTTTATAAAATTTCGTGTGTCTCACTTCCAATCAATAAAAACAGGTACATTATTTTTCAATGAATTATCTGCTTGTGTACATGCAGATATATATGCTAATAGATTTATTTCTCATTTCATGCTATATAGAGGTATTATTACTAGTGCTAGCAACATTTTAATTATCGACACTGTAATTCAGCTGAATAATGGGAGTATAAAATTTCAAGTCATTACCGTCACCTGACTGGAATATTAGACTACAATTATCGGTAGTTTTAACGAACTAAAGTAGCTACTAAAGGTTTTAAGTATATGCCTGGTATTATGATGTCGCACTCTCATTCAATAAATAGAATGGGTATTTACCTGTTTTGAACTTCTTTTATCATATCTAAGGTAGGATGCAAAGTGTTCACAGTTATTCCATAGAATATTGTAGCCAATGACGCCAACCATTTCGTATGCTTTCTTTACAATTTCCTCTGCTTTTAAAGGTCTAAAATTGAAAAAAAGACATAACAATGAATTTTTTAAATTTATAAAATATATGTTTGTCAATTAAGTGGTGTTATTCAAATAAGTATATTATTATTGCTCATTCGTCGCGTGTCTTTATAGTATGCGATATCTACTAATGGGGTCTGAGGTAGATTTAGGTCATTTTTGTTACAGTACATAATCGTATAGCATATTCCTAATAAAATGCCGACGTCTTAAACCATATTGAAACATTTCTGTGGTATGAATTGCAAAACGATTCCCACACTTAAGAGATGGTAGTTGATCTCTCCATAATATTCAATCAACTTTACATTTACAAAGCAAACAAATTATGATGCTTTCTAATATGCAACATAAAGTAGTAGGTTCTTGAGATTGCAAAACTAGTAAACAAATACTTGCTCCCAAGGAGACGTTTAATGATCCCCAATTCAGTCCCCTCACTGAATTAATCATGCCATGTTGAAAGTATATATGAGATATGATATTTACATACGTGGAATCCCGGTCCCTTGTTATTTATTCTTGTTTTACGTCCACTGGCAACTTTCCAAAAGTCGTCAATCCTTACAAAGGCTTTGTTAAACATCTTTCCACCAACAGAAAACATGCTACCTGGTGTAAAAGCATCAACACTATCCGCATCGTCAGCTCCGGATAAATGCACGTTCTTTTCGTCACCTTATCAAAAATAATAGAAAAAAAATAAACAATATTTTTCCTCATGCTAATCATTTGTCACATTATCTTTCCGTAAAAGGTATCAATTTCAATATGGTAATTTGGGTAATGTTACACTATATATTTGACATTGACATGTAACGTAATATGTCATTAATGGTCTATATAACAGACAAACCTTTACAGCCATCACACTGGATGTTATTTATCGCACCATAACCAGAATTCTTTCTGGTTAGTTTAAATCGTGAGATTACGATGTAAATGTTTATATAAAATGCAATGTCCGCCTATTTCATACCAAATAAGGTTACATAGCAGCGCATCACTTACCTATATATACACCCCAGTGTGCATATAATGTTCTGGGAAATTCTGTTTCATACATTTTAATTTTGTTTTCGCTATTTCGAAACGTTATTTCGTTGTATCGATGATTATTTAGTTTCATCGAAAAAACAATTTCGTTGTTTTCAAATTAAATAAACTGAACATTTCTTCATTTGGAAATAATTTTTCGTTCCATCGAAACAATATGTCATTATAACGGAATTATATTTCCATATTTGATGGCGGATATGCGAGGATCATTCTGCTTTGAAACTTACAAATACTTATTTTAACCACAGATGAGCTGGAGACTACGTACAAAACATTTACTTTATTGACTGGTTCACCAAGTTATACCCTAACCCCCAACCCATCCAAAGGTTGGGATTTGTGGTATATAGTTATTACTTTTGGTTCTGTCATCACCTCGTGTACAGTATATGTAATTCGCACTTAACACCAAAAAATGAAACCACCAAGGCCTACACCTAAGGTTTGAATTCATAGGTTGCTCTTGAAAACTTTTGAAATAAAGAACATGTCAACAGAACATAGCTCTCAAATGAATTATAAAAGGAAAAAGGTCAAGATCTGAGGGGGTATATGTATAAATCCCCTAACTCACTTTAAACATTCCGTTCTGTAAAATAGAGGTCACAAACAGTAAGTTGTGAAAGTCAAAATCTAAGATGACATTCCGATGTTTATTTTGCTAGTGTGTGAAGTCGATAAACTGTATATGTCCTAGTAAAAGCACTTCTTAAATATGAGAAGTTTTTCGTTCGGTTTTCATTAAAACTTGTCATAATAATATTGTCAAACAACTGGGAAAAGGCGATTTGAACAGTCTACCCAATGTCTTTCTTCAATTGCAAAATAGTACACCTCAGTGGCGACAGTGTAACGAACTACTCAATTAATGCTATTATTTCATTAGATCATTTGTCGAAATGATGTAAAACTATTTCAAAATAATGAAAGAACAATTCGTAAAAAATAGAATAAAAAAAGTGTGAAGGATGTCAGTAATTGGTTTCGTAGTTACAATATAAACGTCTCACTGGTGACTTGTTCTGATCACTGAGTAAAATAAATGATTTTCAGACCTCGACCGGGCGTTAAGAAACGGTACAAAGTGTCAGACATTACGGAGATCATGTAATTAATGTACAAGATGCGTTTATATATGTTTGAATGTAGATAATGACCACAAAGATATGTGTGGAGAATTAAAGTATTGGTATTCATAGACAAAATAGGATTTATTCCGGATTGAATTTGGAATTGAAATATTTTGAAATATGTTTATCTTTAACAGAAAACATTCTGTATTCTGTATATGGCGAATGTATTATATTGTAAAGTAACCTCCCGAATTGTAATGATGCTTATCATCTGTGTGTCGTTTGTACAACCGTTGAGATAGCAGGTAGTAGACACTGCTGGTAAACTATGAGTCCCGGAGTTTACTTTATCTGAATGGTGACACGTTTCAGAATATACATATGCACTTGACTTTTTTTCTTAAATCATCAAATATAGAAATGTTACGAAATTTACTGAATTATTTGTCTAGTGCACTTTCCTAGCTCTGGCATTTATTCGGTCACTTTAGATTTTACCATGCGCCGCCCAGTAGGTTCTTAGAATCATTGGCGAGTCCTAGAATAACGAAACGGATATATAATGCAGTTTAAGTCATTGCTTGGATTTGCTGCATCTTATCCAATCTTGTTTTATTAAATGTTGCGATAATTTTGTGGATACTTCTGTACAATCTTTGAAGTATTGGAGAAGTAAAACCAATCCAAACAACCATTAAGTACAAGAGCTCTCAACATGGGATGTTTTTGTTCTATATCGTACAATTATCATTAATATATTTTGACATTTTGGATTTTCCTCAATCGTCATCAGGAGTTTTAGCATCAGTGAGGATTCCTAGAAGGATGGGACCTACAATATAGAGAAAGCTCGCGCGACGTTTATACTAGGACGCATTCGGACGTTAACCGAAGTGTCTTTGTCATAAGTTCCGAAATCATCATCAATATATCATCATATAAGGAACTGAGCTTGTGTATGAACCATTTTGAAGTTTGAATGAGCAATACTGCTTGTGACTGAGAATGTTTGATAATAGTATCAAAAATCGTTATTTACCCAGCTTGGCTTCACAAATAAGTGTTGGAACTCAGCTTACTGTGAATGTATACGCCAGTACGTTTAAAGCGACACTAGAGTTCTGGTTAAAACAGGCAAACAACGAAAAGTTTCAAGACAAATTTGATATAAACATACGACACTGGCATCCTGCAATGTATCCACAAGAGATATAAGTTGGTGTTTTTTCAGTACATCAAATTGTCAAGAGGAAAGATCAGAATAATATTATTGCTTGGGACAAGTCGTATGTTGCTTTGATAAATTCTTGTAAAAAACTTGTCAACTTCAATACTTCCCAGTAAAACATCTGTTACATTTTGTCAGCTTCGATACTCCTAGTAAAACATCTATTACATTATGTCATCTTCAATACATACCGATATCTTTAGTGTTCGTTTGTATCAAAAGCAACTTATGAAGTTCAGAAGATTAAAATCCCAGTGAGATAAGTATGACCATCAGAAAAGTCCATGAACCTGTAACTCTTAAAATCCTGTGTTGAGAGTGTGTCAATTGCATGATATTGATAATAAGCCCTTGAATATAAAATCAACTGCGCCGGTGTGAATTTCCAGAAATGGAAAATTCAATCAATAGAGAGATGAAGATTTTTCCTCTTATTAATTAAATAATTGACTTTACAATGTAATAAAATGAATAATAATACTTCGATGGTCGGGAGGCACAGTGGTAACGTTATCGCCTTTCACCTAGCCGCGGGAGTTCGATTTCTGGAATGGACGTGAAAAAGTATGGGTCACCTGCCCGACCACGTGGGTTTTCCTTGGGTAGTCCGGTTGCCTCCCACAGGAAAACCCCCGCACAGTTTCACCTGAGAGTTATCAATGATTAGCGTAAAACCTGTTTCGCAATGGTTGTAATATAAATAAAGTTCATTTATCTATTATCAGTACTTCCGAAGAATCCCGACCCGTACCAAACGAAATCGATTGATATAAGAGACAAAATGTTATATGACTTATTGCAATAATACCCTGGAGTTCATGGATAAAACTGTGATCAACACTGCAGACGACTTGGAATAACTGATCTTACATCAAAACTATAGGAAATGAAAGACTCGCTGTGTCTTTGTATTGCAAATTAATCTTAAAACAGTTAAGACTGCTATTTCTCAAGAAATAAATTACAAATACACAAGGGTCCACGCATGTAATGTGATAAGTCCCTGATAGATAATAGATAAAGCCTTCTGATGGTATGGCCCACAGACTATACAACCCAATGCTACCTTTACCCGTACAGCTGTGTCTTTTCAAAAACAACAATCTAAAATGAGTGTTGTATCTCAGTAATGATAATAATGATAATAATAGTAAAGTAGTTGTACATCTGTATGTAGTGTATAGTTGTGTAAGCCCTCCGTTTGTTTCTAGACAAATGACCTTCCTAAAAGTCTCCTTTGCCTGGATTGCCACATTATCAATATCAATGATTTCCTTCCTTCGTTTTTGGATTACTGACTTATCGCCATCTATACTTACCTGGATCCATCTCCCCTGCAGTAACAGGTAGTTTGTTCTGATTAAAGTTTCTTCTACATGATAAATTCTGATTCCTGCCTCCATCACTGTATCATTAAAACAAATTCATGTGAACAACTTCTTATAGTTTACCGACAAACAGAGATGCGCGTATGATAGACATGTATATATCCTGTGGTCATACATGAATTAGCAAGCTTACTACTCTTTTCAATCAAATGGGTACGCTGAATCAGATACACGTATACATTTTGGACGATATGATAAGAGATACTTAAATAACTGTTCTTTTACTCTCTGATGATAGTAAGCTCGTAAAATGTATGAATAATTTATTATTGTCTGGTCTGGTACACGACGGATATTGCCTATAAATTGCTCAGATAGAAAAAACACACCCATCAAACCCCTCTTGACTACTTTTTCTTAACACGATCAAAATGTACTTTCTCCGACATACAATAGAGTCTTTATCATATGTTCAGCGGGTGTAGAAGAGTCTGTCGTGCCTTTGATTTCATGTGTATATGCTGTCAACGTCTAGATGGATTAAAATGTGGTATGCAGGTTACTGTTTAAAAAACGCATACTTTTATAGCATCTGTTAATACAAATTTAGAATTAGATACAAACATCAAATGATGAATTAATATGCATCACACAGCTGTTTCGTCTTCAGTGTAAAGCAAATTCAGCGTTGAGAGAAAATGGAATTATTTAACACTTCACTATGGCACTAGGGATAACTTTCAGTCAAAACTTTAACTTTTCGTCCAGCGACTTCAGATGAACATAATTGGATATGGAGACAAATGTCGACGAGGAGAACCAGTTACTTGGGGCGTCCAGCCGGATCTACCGTGCACGCTGGTGGATACTTTTGTTGTCTTTTCTTCATTTTCTCCAGCAGTGTTTCAGCATAAATACCTGGGGACCAATAGCCCAGTCAGTCAAAAGAGCATTTGACTGGGAAGACACCACCATAGTTTTTATTCTCAACATGTGTCGAGCGGGAAGCATGGTTTACATATGCATCGGATCATACGTATTGGACAAAGCAGGTACGTAAGGGACTTATAAGTACTACTTATTGACCAATAAAGGATTGTTTAAAATTGATAAGTTTGAATGCACCGTATCTGTTATACTTAAGAAATAACGAATTAAGTTAGACATTTAGTGAATATTGAACCCATATAGAATTGATTATCAAAAAATGTAAATGTACCTTACCTGTCATAGCCGTTTTATCCTACGATATTATTGCATGCCATTGAAGAAAGCGTTAAACATAGTAGGAATATTTTGTTATCATCATGGAATGGTATGTATTAATTCCCATTCGGACAAACGTGCAACCGTTCGCGCGAGTTCATTGGTCTTTATCGAACGAAATCATTGGTCATTAAAATGATTAGTTCTTAGCAAGGTGTCTTCAAAACTTTTAAGTATTTTAATGTTAGCACATACGTTGCACACATCTTTTAGCATTAACAACATAACACTCAGGTTTCGCTATCTAAAATATCTAAAACTCCGTTAGCATGAATGGCATTTAAGATTCAAAGTAGTTTATTTTCTTGTAACTAGTAACTCTTTGTTTTCTTTTAATTCCACTTCAGGTTTACGGGTTGCTATGCTGATGTATTCTGCTACTGCGCTATTTAGTAACGGTTTACGGTCGCTAAGTAAAGACAAGAGCATTGCGTTGGTGTCAGTATATTTATCATTTTTATTGATTACATTTTTATTCATGATATAATTTTTATCGATATCGGTTCAACAATCATGTTTCATGTACTCTTGCTAACTTTTTGAGATCATTATTCTCCATCAATTTAATTCTCAATCGATATATTTTCATCATTATTAATACTAATATGTTTTTTCTTTAAAAGGCTCATTACCATCGGGGAGTTTCTCAAAGGATGCAATGGAGTAATAACATTTGCAGCGCCGCCAATTATTGCAGACAGGTGGTTTCCACCAGGAGAGAGAATTACCGCATTAGCTATCATGATACTAGCGGCATATGTTGGAGATGGGGTCTCCAGTATCATTGGTAAGAAAAATAACTTACAATAAAATCGATAGTTTCATTATCGAGAGTGGTTTAGGCTATACTGCAATCATATAATGTAAACCAACTAAAAATAAACGTAGTTATATGTACCAAAACACAGCACAAAAAACTATGGCAAAATATGAACTACAGAAAAATTTACACGGAGACTCATCAAAAAGTACAAGGAGAATAAGACCAGGTGTTTCGGAAGAGTAAGCGTCTCCTGCTTCATTGATGACATGTAAACCTTGCTCGATCCAAGTAAGCAAGTAAGTAATGTAAAGTTCTCAGTTGAGAACAAGGTATACAACAACAAAGCCAACAGGCAAACTAACGAGCATAATCATAATCATGCATTGAACCCCTGTGTGACGAGTTTGTCAGTCAGTTGCACGAACATCGTGATAATGAGAACAGGCCCTTGTATCGAATCATCTGTGACATGTTAATTTCATAGGTTGTATATGCATTGAAATTGATATTGAAAATCCACAATAGGGAGAATGAATCATCACCAAACTCGACGAAGAAGTTGTCAACCATATGGATATATATTATATGGATTCTTTTGAAGTTTAGGGATCCAGTATAAACAGGACAGGTCTGTAACCTTATCATTAATTGGCAATCTAAATAATTGTAATACCGAAGCATGATTAGCTTTTTTGAAAAATTGCATAATTCATAGGTTGGATTTCCTTCTTTGTCAAGAAAGCCTAATTCTTTTTGTATACAGGAAATGTATGCAGACGAGGATCAAGTTATTGGAGGCCGTATCTGCAAGTACAATATTATACCTGTCATTTAAATCTTAAAGAGTGGATTGAACTTCAAGGTAGAGGAAAACTGATCTGTGTTTTGTTTTCCTTTTCGATTTCAAGCTGCAAATTCTTTTTCGCATGATGGACCGAATGGACTTATCCCACTCTTGTGGATCCAACGCAGAATGTTCTTGTTTCACCTATCCATGACATAGTTTTCAACAGAACACATAAGTATATTGGAATTCACATTCAGGGCCCTCGTTGCTTTAATGCTTAAATCACCAGTTACGATCTGCCCAGTTGGACCATAGTTACAAGTAGAGGTAGCACAAGAACAAGCTGACGGTTCTAAGGTCATCTGCATTCAGTTGCTGCAGCGTTAGTTGGTAGTTGAAAAGTTTGTATGCAATGGGCCTGGAGTAGCTGTGGGAAATTACAGGTTGTTTCTACTTGGAAAGTATTGTGGAATGCTAGTCTGAACAGACTTCTGGTGTAAAATATTGCTGATGTTCATAGCATCCACTTCCTTCTTTTTTTTACAAACTCAACCTTCATAAAATAGCGAGTTTTTGGAGGATCTATACTGACAGGTTTAAAGAGGTTAATCGTTTCCTTTTTTGTCTAGCCGATAGTGTAAATCCCCAGAAGATGCACGCTGACCAAATATGCTTGAAAACTACGTTGATCACTTATTCTAAAGATGTTTTATAATGATGGATACGTTTTTCGCGATTTTCTACATAATGTTGCTTTGTGTCAAAATTCTCGAGGGATTTTGTCTTTTATCAACAGATTGATATCTTGATAGAAACAATAGCAGAACTTCCCCAAACCGACCATTTATGAAACATCATTATTTGGCCGGTTTAGGGAGGGTGTGGTTTGCAGAAGTCAATGATTCCGTGTTTGTACATTACATTAACCATTACGTTCGCTCTGAGTATTTGCACTGTATATATCTTACTGGATAAGTAAGAAACATCACAGAGTAAAATATTCTGAGTGCAGAAACACACAATAAATAACCAATCGGATGCGAATCTGCGGCGTTCTAGCACTAAATATTCGTGAATCGTTGGCGCAATATTCACTTCAGTTTTCGGAATGGCAAAGAAATCACTGGGAATCATATACCCATCAGATTTGATAGACATAAGGTCATACCATCCTTGTAGAAACGAGTGTGCATGTACACATATATTTTGAGTGGTCGGGTGGCATAGTGGTAACGCACTCGCCTTTCACCTAGCCGTCCGGGGTTCGATTCCCGCAATGGATGTGAAAAGATATGGGCCACCTACCCCACCACGTGGGTTTTTCCCGGGTACTCCGGTTTCCTCCCACCCTAAGACCCCTCGCGCGCTTCCATCCGAGCAAACAAGAGTGATTTATATAAGTTGGAAAAACTTGCTTCGCACCTGTTGTAAAACAAATAAAGTTTATGATTTTTAATGTTTTTAAGTATTGGTTCAATAACCACCATGTAGGTATGATTGTTGTTGAACACAAACTGTCAAGAACCGTTTGTGTTGAGACAGAAACAAATAGCCGATTGGCTTGCTAACAAACGAATACCGGTACCCAAAGGTATAAAATGCAAGTGACCTGTAAAACTGGTAATCATTTCAACGTTGACCGTGCTAACTTAATTAGAGTTCTGGATCTTTTTCAGGGCCAAAGGTAGTGGAGAAACCAATTTTCACCCACGATAGGTAAAGTCAATTATTTTGTATTATGTTCAACAAATTTTGAAGAATTTAATATATTTTTCTGATCTCATGCTTTATCAACATTAGTTAAACTTTCATCAATTTATTTTTAGAAATGAAATAAAATTTAGATGACTTTCAGTTATTATCCTTCTAAATTAAATAATAATTTATGTATGTTATGTTTCAGTATTCTGCATAACTCAACCGTAACTGCAAACTCGACGAGAGGTTTGTTTCCTTGTTTTCTTTTATTTAAAATGTGTAAATCTTTTAAACATCGTACAGACCGTTAATTAAATATAAATCAATCACAGGTGACATTGCTCGTTAGAGACAATGTTTTAAGTGTTATTGGTGACATTGCTCGTTAGAGACAATGTTTTAAGTGTTATTGATGCACCTTCTTTAGTGCATCTTAAATCAAACACAACATAAGTTACATATTTCTTTCTATACAACATATGACTATTTTGTTATCAATAGATATACTAAACAAAAAAAGAAAGGTAACACTAATTTATTCTGTGATTAATTAATGAACCCCTTCATAAATCCTTACCAATCATGTATGAATAAAGTAATTGATCAATATGATAAAACTGCAGTCATGGTTCATCATAAAACTTTGCGTTCAGTTGATTTTATTCGACTGTAAAGGACGTTGGGGTCAATTTCAAAGTAACACCATTAGTAACGGGTATGGCCACCGTTTGCGAAGTAAACAGCATTGCAGCGTCGTCGCATGGAACTCGTAAACCGGCGGATAATTCGATGATAGATGTTGTCCCATTCAGCGATCAAGGCTTGGGCCAGCTCCTGCAAGTTTGACGGCTGATTTTGACGTTCTCTCACGCGTCGCCCAAGAACGTCCCAGACATGCTCAATCGGTGACAAATCAGGTGATTTAGATGGCCAATCTAACACCTGTACGTTATTCTGCTGCAAGAAAGTTCTGCTGACGCGACTGGTGTGCGCTGGTGCGTTATCCTGTGGAAAAATGGCACCAACGCCATGGCGTCTTAAGAATGGCAGAACCACTGGTCTTATAATTTCGTCCCGATATCGAATGCTGGTTAAATTGCCATTTAACACAACAAGCCTGGTACGAGTCCCCCCACAAATACCACCCCAAACCATTACACTTCCGCCGCCAAAGCGGTCCCGTTCTGTGACGCAGCAGTTCGCAAAACGCTCCCCTCGTCGCCTCCACACTCTGCGCATTCCGTCACCGTGTTGCAGACAAAACATGGACTCATCTGAAAACAGAAAATTTTTCCATTGTCGTAAGGCCCAACGACGGTGAACACGGGTTCAGTTACGCCGATTATTACGGTGGGTCCAGTGTAGGGACGCCGCGCTTTCAATTGGTAGGCCCTCAACCTGTTGCGGACTGTTTGGAGAGACACACGACGCCCAAACAATGTCCTCGTAGTCTCTACTGCGGTTACGAATCGATTGCGCAAGTGTATCAATCGTATACGACGGTCATCCCTGGCGGTCGTTTTACCCAGTTTGGTTTAAACGACTAACCAACTGTCAAATTGTCTTAACACTGCAACCAAAATGCCGTGCAACTCGACGGCGAGACTCCCCAGCCTGAATCATGCCTACAGCCTTTTCTCTCTGTACTTGTGACAGCCGGGTCATAATGATAAAGTTGATAGATAGCAAGATTCGGTGATTTCTAAGTCCTAACGATCTAAGGAACAGTTGTCAGTTTGAATATTTATGAAATTCTTTCTTTTTTTGTTGAGTATATGTGTGTATATACATTCTCTGTCCATCTCTGTGTTAGTTATCAATGGCGAGGAAATGTTGGATGAAGTGATGACCTATCTCTATGTTCGTAAGTACACGTTGATTTCGTTTTAACCTAAATACTTTGACAAAAGATTATAAACATTAGTAGAATAATCATAAAACTAAATGAAAGCTATTGATACTCAGATCTAAAATACTAAATATAGAACTCATGAAGCCAAGAAAAGTATCTAACTGGCCTAAGTATAGACGCAGAACACTGGAGGCAACTAAATATATCTGCATGGCAATCGACGCTTATAAAGTCTCCCTTGTAAATAATTGCCTTTAACGTAAATCATAATCCGAAAGCCTAAAACTATATGAAGAAAAAATGCTTACCACCAAAAGAGTAAACGTCACATAATTTTGAATTATTTACATTGATAACCTGCCATTTCTGTTTCAATTTTGCATTTAAACATATTTGACAAGAACCCCGACTTCTTTCGAATAAAAATCAGCATAACATCCAACATACTTGATTTTATATGCTGAGTGACGAACAGCTGAACACATACATATACACACACATATCTACATTTATGGACGACAATATTTTTATTCCTATATAATGTAGTGTTGTACATAAATAATGATACCAGTCAATAATGTGTTTTAGAACAAGCTGAGAGAAATTTATCTATACGATTCAATGGGTGTTGATAGGGTTTAGAATATATAAGAGAATGTTTGTCGTCCGAAAAAACATGTTTTAATCAATGTAACGCCAACACTCGCTGTAAGTTAGCTCATTAAAACTACACTTATATGAAAGTACCGACCCCATCACCCCGCCCAAAATAATGATAAAAAAATGAATAACCTGGTAAAGAATATTAATCTTTGTTACAAAAATGAAAAATGGCTTTCTTACGATGAAATATTTCTTTCTACCTTTGAAATCACATAAAATAGCCATGGTAATGATGACTGGTCGGCTTTAAATGCTATCTTTTGTTTCAGTTCACAAATATAGATATCTCCCATTAACTTAAATTGAGGGTTTACACAGATAAGAGTATTTTTGACAAATCCTTCAATACCTTCAAGAAACAGATTTTTTATTATGCATAAGTCACACAGTTATGTTTGTCTTTCGTATGAAGGCAACTGTGTTGTCATTAAAACTTAAAGTTTTCTAATTGTTTATACTATCAGAACATCTATGCAATATAAGTTACCATCCCGAGACGGACTGGTATACATGTAATGTGTGCTGTGTTGTCAGTGTATCATTCTGTATAGTATTCGACAGATATGGTATTAGTGTTATTAGTGGGCATTACTGTGTGGCACAATAAAATATGTATTACTTCATAATGTGTGGAGTGTCAAAACTATTATATGGTCCAACAGTGTTCAGAGTGTTCTGAATGTAATATACTGTGCATTACCTCGTAGTGTGAAGTACTATATAATACATGTATGCATTACTTCCTCAGAGTGTGGAGTGTCGGCAGTGTTGTTCATTATGACTGTAGCTTACTTCCCTGATAAACCGTCATCGGCTCCAAGTACCTCTTCTGGTATGTCACGTCTTAACTACCTGGAATCCTTCCGGAAACTCGTCAGGTAGCTATTCATTAAATGACTTTTGAACTTTTCCAAAACTGACATATTGTTCTGAATATTACTTTTTTTATTTTTGTGTTGATTTTTAACAAAGTCGTTTGGATTTATATATATTGCATGATTGTTTGTGTTATAGATCCGGATGTATTTAAGAAGTTATTGCAATTGCATTTCTATGATATATTTCGCGTATTGAAACAAAACACGCGCAAGAAGACCGTGCTAACATATAGTGTGTAAAGTCTTACTAAATATATAGCAAACCCATTTCGGTCAAAATTGATGATTACAAAACTTTGATCACAATCAAATTCTACTGTACGTTTTGACATGAATATTTCCGTTGTTGAGACAATATTTTTGTTAATACTGAAACATACATTGTAGAAACAAGCATCTGCTATTAGTAGTGGTGGTTTTGGGTGTAATAATGGGCATCTACACGTCCTTTATTCAAGTGACAGACATAATATACGATCCTTTGGGCGTTTCACAGGTAATTGCATTGGCTTTGTACATGCTTATACACTAAAAACCGATAATGCACATATTATCTACACATTATTCGACACTAGTTATAACCCCTTTAAAGAACAGTTTGTTAATTTAAAAACCAATTAATCTAAATTACATATTTTCGAACTGTGGCAGAGTTTTGTACGATGTCCAGAGTAAAATAAGACCGTTGTTATATTCAGTCCGATATTGGATAACGAAATCTCGTATATCTCTTTTCATCAACGACATCCACTACTTCCATCAAAATGTGTTTGCTCTAAACAAATTGTATAATGCAGTATATTAGATCCAGTTTCCTCGACAGGTTGAAGTTAGAACCTGAGCAATATAACCGATTTGATTTTTATGTGATGATCGGAAATCTAAATTTTCTCCAAAACCAACTTTTTGGACAGATCTCAAATCAAACCGGTTCCGAGACCGAAGTCTAGGTTATACGCACACGAAACACATCACAATTCTGAAAACACAAATTTGGGAGGACTTCGGTATCCCTACGATTTTATATTTGTACGTAATAACGGTTTCGTGGAAGTGACACAACCGGACGGATAAAAGATTTAAGTCACAAACACCAACAACTGTTTTCGGTTTGTTCTGTTCGTTTCCTAATGTGATAAATGTTTTCTTGTTACAGAACTTACAAAATGTTTCTATCAATGTGGCAAATATCAAGGAAAATGCATTGAAAAGATAAGATATAGAGATATCAATCAAAGAAAAAGTTTTTCAACACTATATTGCGTATACTAAAACTAAGATTTCTGTAAGTAATTTTTTTTTTATCTATATCGGCATTTTATACATCTGCTCTCTGTTCCAGTTGAGCGCTGGGTGGATAGCATTTTATACCATAATCACAGGCAGTGTACTTGGGTTCTTCATAGCAAGGCAAGTTTTTCTTTTCTGTGCGAGAGTGCCAGTTCCAAGTTAATTACATCGGTGTGTGTTTTTTTCGATGTTTAGATCATTGATCCGCTTACTGCTATACCAGGCTTTGTATATCATCTTTGCCATTGTATTATTTCTTAATGTTAAACTACGGATGGAGTACCGATAAATGAAGCTACTATGTTGAACAAAGAACAAAACATTCCTTGCCTTGTATGAAAACTTTTCACCGAGCTCCGATTTGTTCAAAATCTCCTTATGTAATTAAACTAGTTTCGTTAGAAGTACAACCACTACATTAAATCATCTTTAATTTGAATGTTATATCCAGTGAATACTTATCAACACATTTCATAAACATCGGCTACTATATAGCCTCCAATATCGAGGATCGATATTTGTTTCATCAATGCAGTTACCATCTATCACAATCAACTGATACAATGCGTTATTTCATACTTGTCTGATCGTTACGTTGTATTGTGGGGGTTTAAAACGTGCATTAATGAAGCGACATTTAGTAATTATTCCGTTTTGTTGTAGGTTTTCTGATAAATTTATGAAGCGACTCAAGTCAGTTCTTTTAGCTATGTTTGTACTCATCATAGCAACATCTCTGTGGACGGCTTTACTTGCTAATGGATTGCTTCCTTACTCTAAATGTAAGATTTTTATGCATATTGTCAATGTCATTGTCCCACTTACACTGTACATGTGGCAAAGCTGTCTTATGTGAATAAGATGCGAATAACTCTTATTTTGTAGTTCAACATCAAGGCACTTTATTTCTTGTCATCAATTTTATATACCTATATTCATTAAATAGACCCGTTATGATTTTATTCATATCAAGGGATATAGGTAAATGCTTTAATAAAATTTACCAGCACAACAGTCTGTAAGACATTTTATCAATTGAATGTTTGCTGTCGGTATGAACTATGGGTTTGATCTTGAAAGGTCATATTCTAGAAACTAATTTAAAAGCAAAGCAAGAACATGCTCCTGAATGGGGTTAATAGGAAACAGTCTTGTTTTATTATTATTTCGGGGCAACATATCTTTTCAGTATTTTTCTTCTTTGATTGATGGTCATTTGAAAATTCTAAAATTAAGTTTGATTTTTAAGAACCTTCCTGGCAATTAAAAAAGTTGAAAAATTCTAGTTAATCCTTTTAAATGTTTTTCATGCAAAACTTGAGATAACAACGAATCGAAAAGCTTCCTTTATCACGTTAGGGACTAACTAGCGATAACTACCGATATTGATCTTACAAAGATAGAGTAGAATTAAACATAGAACTGAAATGAACACATTTTGATCCGACTTTTATACGTCCTGAAACATTAACTCCAGTTCCAGTATGTTTAAGTCTTAATAAATGTAACTTGGCTACCTGTTTGATATAGGAGAGCGAAACAATGATTATGCATATTTGTCACCATCACCATCTAAATAAGGGAAACCTCTACAACCAATCACGATTCTGCCATTGGTTTGTACAGTTTTGTTCAAAACATAGTTAATGTACTTTCTACTAATATTCCACGTTTACATTCGGATCCATATGTGTAAGGTAGATATAATCAGTCTAAATACAAAATCACGAAAGAGTAAAACAGATATCGAAACAAATGTATAACTTTTTGTCCGATCTTGTGTATAATCATGTATGCTTATCTCACTTGATGTCATATCTTCAATGTTCGCAGATATATCCTTGCTTCCAATTTAAACAATAACGTTATCTGAAAAACAGCAAATGGCATACAATGTATCAAATATTGCATATTTATGATTCTAGGGCAGTTGTATGTATCTGCCATCGTGAGTGGTGCTGTGATGAATGCCTCCTTCCCTCTGTGGTATGAGGTTATTTGTGAAATGTCCTTCCCTATACCCGGTGGAATCATTAACGGAATGGCTAACTTCGTCGTCGTCGTCTTTGCCAATATTTTTTTTGGTCTCATGTATATGCCTGTATCTGGTAAGTCTTTTACGAATATTAATTTCGGAAATGAAAAAAATATCTGTTCCATTTAAGTAAATTTAGAAGTACATGCATTAAACTGTATCATACAGCGGTTTCGTTCTTTGATGACTTGCCAGTGATGATAAAAGTCTAAATTTTAAAATAATCAAATCTCTAAATGGAATAAGGTCGAAGGGCAGCTTTGAATAAAACGCTTACCTTTCTTGGTACTTTTTCATAAGTCTCCATTGCCATCTTTCCTTTATTCATATTTTGCCTTCATTTCATCTTATGGAATTTAAATTACATTGACATATTTGTATTTTCGTTAAGGGAAACTAGATTGTTATTTATCAAAGTAATTTTCTCAGGGTTATTCTTCTGTGAAAGTAATAATAAATCCATACGTCTGCAAACAAAAATGGCGTCAAACTAAATCAACATCAAATACATTTTTTATTACCTGAGTTGTTTCTCTTCTGCAGACTACAGATGGTTGACGTGGACTATGTTTGCTTCGTCCTTGCTTGGTTTTATGACGTTGTTGTTATTACCGTTGACCTACATTCGGACAGATATTGATAAAGAGGCTAAGGATGAGGATGACAGTCGTAGCAACGAGGCCGACAATATCATGATGGAAACCTGTACTCAAGAAAATGTAGGGAAGGATTAATAAGTGGTCTGTTTAATTCACTAATGCTCTTTTGATCTCAACACGTATTCGATAACATTCTAACAATTTACAGTGTCTAACAAATAACAATAGAAAGCAATTGAATTGTGTGAAGTAGCCCATTACAAATGGCATTATCATCTCGTCAAGTGTAACGTTGTCATTACGAAGATAATGATAGCCATACTGATTCCTGTGCCCTTTTAGCTCAAATAATATGCTCTTATTTCTTTCATGACAGTAACCTTTTACATACCATTTCTTTTATGGAAAACTCTTCAGAGCGTACGGCGCGATATTATCAGGCGTTAATTGAAGGGAACCTCGTTCAGTTGGATATATCTATGTCATATATACATCTAACTACGTTTCTAGTTATCATTACAGTTTAATATCGTATTTATTTGGCGGGTAATACATAATTTATATATTTTTACGCGAAGCATAAATGAAAAATAAACATATATCCTGTCATATGGTTTAAATGTATATCATGGGATACCATTTAATGTTCTATTTTACATTTACAAAGGAAAAACAAATAAAACAAATAAAAAAGTCGATCCTAACATAAAATAATGCGGTCTTAAAATATATTTGCGTGCTCTTTGACATTAGATAGTTTGATATTGACCATAAGACGACCCCATTTTGAATAGGCTGCCATACGTTGTGTTTCACCATTTTGTGTTGTTTTGTATGTTTGATAGGTTTGGTGTATGTACTATTAATGGAGTATAACAAATATATATTATATATAATGATAGTGTGGTATAAGATGTGTTCAGTGAATGTAATGTTGATGGAGAATGCATGTGTCATATGTCTTATGCATAATGTTATTGAATTAAAAGACATGTTTGGTGTCTAAAATGTCAATGGTGTGTTAGTGTTTATTGTATGTAATTTCAATGTCGTATTTACACACCAAATAGCAAACAATGACAAAATAAATAAATAGTATCTGTTAACAAGGTGTAGCAGTTAACGGGTGCCTGTCAAAATATCTTCAAAATAGCTTGCTCATTCAAGTGTCCAGGATCAAGGATGGTTGGGAGTTACATAAATTGGGCCTTACGTTCCACTTACTGTCCCATCCTGGGACATAGGCAAAAGGTGTATGAGATACGAGGACCACAGCGCCAACCGGATACTGACATTATCATACATCATGATATAGATTTTGATATGCTATCTCTATATTGAATGTAGATAATGCCGTTATCCTTAGAGGTACAGGTGTTGGAACTGAAGGCCAGGATCGAATAAAAGATACAGTTCAGTGTCAAATAAAATAATTTCATTTTAAATTCTTATCAGAAACTGGCTTGTCTAGTTACTGTTTTTATAGTATGTGTTCTGTAATATTTTTTATCATTTGGAATGCTACAATAAGACCGTTTAGATAAACTTCCTCTAAACGAATGCAAAGACATATAATTCCCTAAAAATCAACAGATTAGCACGTCACTACTTACGTTAATCCAACGGAATACAAATCCCATTATATATATTCTCGCCACATGAGTCCTGAGTAAATGTTGACTGACTAGAACACCACTACACGTTAACCCAAGGGGGTATATACTAATCATTATATGTATTGTTGTTACTGTCAGCGGTTACTCATATATCACTGATTCGCAAGTGAAATAGACTAAGCTAATGAGTTGTGCATGTGAGTTCTTCAAATCTTAGGAATGCAAAGAAAGCTACACACCAAGTGATGATCATTTGAATCCACATTAAAGCAGAGATTAGATTCATCGAGAAAAGGATAACTGCTATTGTTAAAACAGATTTTTATTATCATTGAAACTAAAACAACATTCACTTGAAACAGGAATAATTTTCGTAAAGGCGTCATCTCGGTTGATAATGATAATTTTAGTAAACTTTATTTTCCCCGAAAGTGACATTTCGTTTCAGGTTTACGAGTAGCAATGCTTATCTGTTATGCTACTATGTTATTAAGTAACGGTTTACGATCACTAAGTAACGGCAAAGGCGTGGCGATGATGTACGTATATCTATCTTATTGTTTAATGAGAGAAAGTGTTATTGATCATGTTTCAGTTGTTTTGTTCTTGTTAACGTTTTGTAATTCTAACTTGACATTGATTCAATTCATCGTTGTCCAATCCAATTCTCAAACATCATGTTCAGCAATTATGAATACTAATATGATTGTTTTTTCATGAAAACACTTACTACAATCAGAGAGTTTCTAGACGGGTGTAATGGAGTAATAACATTTGTAGCGCCACCAATTATAGCAGACAAATGGTTTCCACCAGGTGAGAGAATTACCGCATCAGCCATCATGGTGCTAGCTGTATATGTTAGTGAAAGGCTGTCCAATGTTATAAGTAAAAGAACTTACATAATAAAATCGACAGTCTTGCAAATCTCATCTTAAAAGGGGTTTTAAAGTAGACTGCAAGGATACACAAATATACATACCTGAAATCCTTTTGCGTTTGCTTATCTGATTGCTAAAGTACATCTCCCTCACGGAATGAGCCAGATGGTGTAAGTAAACAAAGAATGCTGCAAAACTACTTAGATCATGTGTTCTGGTGGGTTTCGTCTCGTCCAATCCTTGACAACTGGAGTGATTGTTATATCAGGTAGGACACAATGTTATTTCATGTGATAATGCCGGTGGTGCTGTTTTGAAATACTGGAATGGTATATTTAGTTATTTGAATGCGTGGTAGTGGGGAAGTTTCTTTTACAAAATCACATTTCACCATTAAGTTACGATGTATTATGATTATGGTATGGTTCAATTGATAAGCTCTTGTAAAATGACATTCTGATCAACCATGCCCTTTAAATGAAAGTTCTATATTTCAAAGTTAAGAATTTCTCTCTAATACTATCTCTAGCACATCGATTATCATATTTTGATATCTAAAACAAATACTAAGATAATACTGTTAAATATTTGTCTAATGCCGTGGTAGCATTTTCTTTACACAACAAAACGATCGAACTATTAAGTTTTTCATCTCTGACGGCTTTTGAATTTTCCTTATCTTAAAAAAGATGTCGCCACTACTTGAAAAAGACTGTTTGACAACTCTGGTGATTATGGGTCGTCGGGACATGGTATATGTTCACTCTGGTGGTGATGGATTGTTAGAAAAATGTTTTCCTCTCTTGTCAGATACTGTTTATCCTGGGCTGATTGCCCACCAAGGATTATTTCAATTTTGTTAAAATAACGTTGAATTATCATTATTCTAAGTTTTTGAATTCCTTAACATTAATGCAAGGTTTCAGTTAAAATGTTAGTGTAACGCCGTCATTTAAAAAAAAATATTATCGCCTAGAATTTAATACATATAACTTTATATTGCATATTTCACTACTGGTTTTTTTAAATGAAATGTGTCGTGTTAAAACAATATTTCTAAAATCTATAAGCTAAAATGACAATTTTGTGCCATGGTTCATATAAATCTTCAATGAAATGGAAAAAATGATATACTCTCAAATTTCACAACCACCTTATATGTTATCTAAATGACATTAGATCTAGACTTGTTTACAAGATGTGTGTATGACTGTCTCAATACTAACTAGATTAAACATTACTGTATTTTCACTAAAACATGGCAATAATGTGAAAAATATTACGTTTCAATATATTAGTCCATGATAACATGAACTAAAAATGTTGTAAGAGCATACCAAATTTATCAAGCGATATGCCTGAGAAGAGTAGAGGGTAGACGAATAATTCGGATATAGATGTACACATTTTTTTTAATTGAGTACAATGGGGTCAGACTAAATTCTCAGGCGGTAGTTCGGATCCACATGTGTAAGGTAAAAACTCAAGGAGTTGTCGAAAAGGAAGAAAAAATAAGGAGCAAAGAGCATAATTCTTTCAAAAAAAGGCTAGAAAAGAAAAAATCTACATGTTCAACCTCAGAAGTTTCATTGAAACTGACCATGACCTTTCACCCTGTAACATTGTCCACCAATATTGAGATGATTTCCAATACTAAGGTTATGATGCTTCACACTATCACTTGCAATATAATGATATCAACAAGTTGCATTATGTACACACACAATCTTGGACAACACATCATAATTAAACCTACCACCAAGCATTGATGTTACTTACCCAAACTTATACCAATTTTCAATGGTTTACCTCAATCTTTCGTTTGCTGATGATCAATTCCAAAATGTTTGTTTATTTTGACAAAGAGTGATCAAGATTTTCCTCTCTTTGTGTTGGTTGGACTTTAGGAGCGCGTGTGTTTATTTATAGAACGGTAAATATGAGATGTCGCTTCCGGTATCAAAGAATGTGCGTGTACCCAAATTGAAACCTTTCGAGAAAAGAGGATAGAACAGAAACCACAACAGTTTATTCTGTCGAAAGTCATGATTGTCCAGAACAAATGAGACGTGAGTATATATGCTGAACCATATCATGTTGATTACCTCATAATATTACCGCAAATATGGAAATGCCGTGCACATTAATAGTTGTACACCGATCGACGTTGCATCACGTATTGTTCAAGTAAACGTTAATATACACCTAAATACAGCAAACATCAGTGTGTTTTCTAATTATCTGAAATAAGGTGGTATCTTTTGAGACATATTTAGTGCATTTATCAGCAGTTTGCTTATATCCGATCATTAGTTATTCATAAATATGTTGCAAATATCAGTTTGTTGGTCTCAGAAATGCAGACTGAGAAACTAAAAACTGAAGTTGAACCTCTACACCACTGTGAAAATTTCTTGTTATCTGTGTATTTTCGAATACAACATGTTTGATATTATGCATGATAGTCAAATCCAACACTTCCGTATCAAAATTTGGTACAAACTTTTTTGTATAATTTTAGGTTTTCTGTCAAGAGACTATTTGCTTCATAGCAGTTCAGAAAAAGCAACATATGTCAAAAATCATTTTTAATGATAGCTAAATCAATGAATTGTGTTGTAGATATAATCAAATAATT